AAGACACCACTTGAAGCCACTTATATTATGGGAGAAAAGCATTTTATGTGAGTGGCCTTAGCTACATGGCAGTTGGCCTCCGATGCTAAATGTCCTTACTAGCCACTCTTGCTAGGAGCTTGGTTACTGAGTCCACTGCCAAGACCAAAAACCCATGACATTTTAATTGGCATAGCGATTCCACTTAACCTTGAGTTGGCATAGAAAATTTTGATAAAAACGAAGGGTCCACTACAATTATGCAAAATGCATATTTAGTTTAGCAAATAAATGTCTACAAGAATCCATTTGAATAGGAATCTCACTTCTAAAATGCAACATGGTGGCATGAGATAAATTTTGTGTGAGAAACTTTAGTACTCTGCCGGTTTCAAAACATAGAGAGTTTTAGCATTTGGCACAGCTATCAAGGAGAGAGGGGTAAAAATACCTAGTTGCCTCCTTAGGGTAAGTGAGGTATAGGCCCAGATTAGTTGGGCCAGGGCTACAATAAAGCCAATCGGTAGTAGGGGTAGCATGTGTAGTTTAGTGGTAAATGACATCTTTTACAAGTACAAGGCTCTTATATTGGCTACGAAATTTGAGTTCTATAAGTTGTTATATTTTAGGATGGATGGAGTACAACATTCCCTCGTTCCACAAATATTAGCATTTCTATGTTGTTTAGCAGAGATTAAGGTTAAGAGAATAAGGCTTTGGTGCCCCCTCATTCAATCAGATATGGTTAGGATATGATGAAAAGAAATTTAAATTAGATCTGTTGATAGGACATACAGTGTTACAGAAGTCCTTACATTTGTGAATAAACTAATTTTCTAGAATACTAAGATTTGTGGATAGGGAGAGTATGTACTTGGTTTGCTAATAATATATATGTTCAACTGAAAGGTACGATAGCTAATCATGCGAGCGGTACCAACAACAATTTCACAATTTTCTTCGAAAATAGTCACATGTCAACCGTAGGCCTCACACGGTGCCACGATCTACCATCTCGACCACACGCAGGCACCTTCTTTGCCTTTCTTTTTCCTTTGCTGAGCCGGCAGCGCTTCCCTTGCCAACCGCCTCAATCTACGTAGCCACATGTCAACACGGTGCCACGATCTACCATCTCAACCACATGCGGGCACCCTCTTCGCCTTTTTGTTTCCTTTGCTGAGCCGCCAGCGCCTCCCTCGCCAACCGCCTCTGTCTACGTAGCCACATGTCAACCGTAGGCCTGACACGGTGCCACGATCTACCACCTCGACCACATGCGGGCACCCTCTTTGCCTTTTTGTTTCCTTTGCTGAGCCGCCAGCGCCTCCCTTGCCAACTGCCTCGATCTACGCAGCTCTACAACCCGAGAAAGAGGTGACATCGGCAGTAGAGAGGGGAGAAGCACCGCTGGTGTCTGAAGAAGGGTGGGGCGATTGAGAGAGTGTGAGGGAAGGAGGGACTGAATATGGTTGTGAGTGGAAGGGAAGTAGTAGACTTATATTGTTTGTAAGTTATGGAGCATTTTTTGTTGTAAAAATTTGGACTGACATGTAAATGGAAAATAAATGTGTGGAGTAAAATTGAAAATATAAGGAGTTGACATGAAAACTAAAGACACCACTTGAAGCCACTTATATTGTGGGAGAAAAGCATTTTTATGTGAGTGGCCTTAGCTACATGGCGGTTAGCCTCCGGTGCTAATGTCCTTGCTAGCCACTCTTGCTAGGAGCTTGGTTACCGAGTCCATTGCCAAGACCAACAACCCATGACATTTTAATCGGCATAGCGATTCCACTTAACCTTGAGCTGGTATAGAAAACTTGGCTAAAAACAAAGGGTCCACTACAACTATGCAAAATGCATATTTAATTCAAACTTGCAATAGCAAATAAGTATCTACGAGCAGTGGCGGATCCACCATGGGGTCTGTGGGGTCTCGAGCCCCCACTACCCATGTTGTAACCATGAGAGCCTCATGAAGACCCCACTAAAATTTTATGTCATACATTCATTAGAAGAGGGGGCTATGATTTTGTATAGTTTGTTTAGGCCCTCCTATTAATCTTTCCTAGATCCGCCATTGTCTATGAGAATCCATTTGAATAGGAATCTCACTTCTAGAATGAAACATGGTGGCATGAACTAGAAATTTTGTGTGAGAAACTTCAGTATTCTACTGTTTCAAAATATAGAAAGTTTTAGCATTTGGCCCCACTATCAAGGAGGGGCAAAAAGACCTAGGCTGAGTTTGTTTCTCAGGGTTCCCAACCCCCCTCCCTCGTTTTTCACGTGCACGCTTTTTAAACTACTCAACGGTGCGTTTTTTGCAACAAAAAAAAATCTATACGAAAGTTGCTTAAAAATCATATTGATCCTTTTTGAAAAAAAACTAATACTTAATTAATCACGCACTAATAGACTGCTCTATTTTCCGTGCATAGGGCTTGAGTGAGGTATAGGCCCGGATTAGTTGGGCCAGGGCTATAATAAAGCCAATGGGCAGTAGGGGTAGCATGTGTAGTTTAGTGGTAAGTGTCATCTTTTATAAGTACTAGGTTGTTATATTGGCTACGAAATTTGAGCTCTATAAGTTGTTATATTTTAGGATGGAAATAGTACAATATTCCCTCGGTCCACAAGTATCAGCATTTCTACGTTGTTTAGCAAAGATTAAGGTTAAGAGAAAAAGGCTTTGGTGTCCCCTCATTCAATCAAATTTGGTTAGTATAATATTAAAAGAAATTTAAATAAGATATGATTGATAGGGCATATAGTGTTACAGAAGTCCTTATATTTGTGAATAGACTAATTGTCTAGAATACTATGATTTGTGAATAGGGAGAGTATGTACTTGGTTTGCTAATAATATATATGTACAACTGAAAGGTACAATAGCTAATCATGTGAGCGTTACCAACAATCACACAATTTTCTTCGAAATGCGGCACATGCCAACCATTGGCCTAACACGGCGCCGCGATCTTTACAGTGATATTGGTAAGCCCCTTTTATTTTATAGATATCTTTACAAATTTTTATCATGTGATATAATCAAGTATCCCTTCAGATATATTTTATGTTAGGATAAGAGTTGGTTCAAACTTTAACAATCCATAATTTCTCAATTGCTTACTTTAAAATAAATAATATACATATATTTGTGTTGAAAGGTACTACTATCTTAATATCATAAACTTTTTAGATTTTATAAACTTTCTAATACATAATTGATCGTTAGAATATTAAAATTTAATGAAAATTTAATAACATCAAATATTTATAACCAGGAGCAGAACTCATGTCAAAATAGACGGTGGTGTCCGTTCCTTGGCCTATGGTACGTCAGCTCGAGCCGTGGCACAAGGTAAAATTCTTGGGATTTAGACATGTGGCCTAATATTGAACGGTTGAGAGGGATTACAATGCAACAAAATTGCAAAAAGTTGGGAAGGAATATAGTACAAAGTATCTCGAAGATACTGCGCAGGTCATGCCTTTCGAATGATACTCGATAATGACGAAGTGTGTGCAATTTATACACGCAAATGTGGAATCATCCTTCTGTTTAGGCGTGCCTTAGTGAGCAGGACACCAACCTAAATTTGTCTAGATTAATTAGTTGGGCATGCCAACCCCAAATTCTTGGTGGTTACCTTGCATTATCAAAGATTCCTTTTTACTTGGTTATTTTCTGCCATATACATTTTTTTGTAGTTTTTTTTTGTTCAAAGCATTGCACACACTAATTAATTTCCATTATGCGGTTGTCTGAATTATTTAGTGTGCAAATGAAAAATCTAAAAATTCAGAATCAGAAAAGAACAGAATGATATTCTCATGTTAATCAGTGAGGAAATAAAAGTAAGAGGAAAATGACAATTTTGGTCCCATGGCGATTTTATTATAGCACTTGAATTAGGCCTCATTTCTGATCATTTGGGCAAGATATTTGGCCATAATGCCAGTCCACTGTGACCCTTTGCCGTAGGGCACAGGATCCTAATCGGTTATTAAGAGCTATCGATACATGGTTATTAAAAAAATACAGCTACAATTTTCATCTTATATATTAGCTAGATCATGCGACAAATATAACTCTATTTGAAAACATAAACATTCATTCTCTGCACCTAGCTAGTTGTGCCGGTCAGTGAAACTGATCCAACTAGTAAGTGCCACCTTAATTAGAAAATATCGTGGTTCCGCCAAACTTTTCCTTAGCTAGGAGAAAAGAAGAAAAAAAAAACAGATCTCTCTGTTTAGAACTATAAGTTTTTCTCGAATCATGACACGTAAATATAATGGAGAAGTCTTGTGAACCCTCGAGGGTTGAAAAGAGAACCCTTATCTGTTAAAAAAACATTCAAAATGTTTTTTTTAAAAAAAAGTAGCAGCATTCATACAACATATAAATCAGTCTAAACTTATTTCGCACGTCAAGATAGAAAAATATAAATCTAGAATATAAATTGTACGAGTACTATTAAAACTTAAATTTATCCCTTTTTTTTATCAATGTGGAGATTGATTTAGAATTTGATTTTATCAAGTGTTGGATGTCACTATATGATCTATATTATCATTTTAAAGAAAAAATGTTTACAACTATTTATATTGAATTTGAGCAATAATAGTATAAAGGGGACATCCACTCTAAGGATTAGAATTATCAGCATAACGAAATATGATTTTAGCAGGATCTAAACAGAGAGATTATTTATTTCCGTAAAAAAGAGTGAGAAACACATTTGAGCAAATTCATCCCTCCTACCTCAAATACTCGAAATAATAAATGAAGTTTTTTTTTTCTTTTTTGCAAGTTGAACTAATAAATGAAGTTAACCCAGATGATGATCAACTGCAATGCATATAACTAGTAACTTGATCATCAGAAATAAATGCCAGTGAGAAAACAGCATGGAAATCCATCCATCCATCCATCATGGTAAAGTCCCAACCCAACCCAAGCCCACACTCCTCTATTTAACCCAACCAAACCCCCCTTTGCTTTTGCCCCATCTCCCACACAAATTTCCTCCGCAAGAAACCAAACCAATCCATCCGCCCGCCTCCAACCGCGCTTAATTGCGCGCCTTTTTTTCTCTCTCTCCTTCTCCTTCGAGTTAGTTCAACTTAAACCCTTCGTTTACAAAAAGCTAGCTCATCTACCTTGTCCACTCCTCTGCACCGGGCGCCGCGCCGCGGCAATGCACATTGCCACTACTGCCTGTGTGTGGCAGCAGGAGAAGGCGGCAGCCATGGGCGCCGGCGCCGGCGACGTTGCCGCCAGCTGGAGGGTGGCGGCGGTGGCGCTCCTCGGCGCGGTGAACTGCGTGGTGAGCTTCGTGGTGTTCTCGTTCTTGGATTTGCTGGATATGGTGCTGTGCGTGGTGTACAAGGTGGTGGACTACGCGGTGGAGGCGGAGTGGAAGGCGTGCTACTGCTCGGCGGCGGCGCGGGACGGCGCCGCCGCCGCCATCTTCGTGCCGCCGGCGTCGGCGTCGGCCGCGCCGGGGCCGAAGGTGGTGCGGCTGTCGCCGTCGTCGGCGAAGATGCAGCTGGAGGACGTCTCCGACACGCTGTACGTGCGCCCCTCGCTGCTGTCGGACGCCACCAAGAAGTCCGGCCCCGCCGCGCCGTCGCTCACGGTGAGCCCCGCCATCGCCGAGCTCATCCGCGGCAAGATCGGCCGCGCCGCCCCGCGCCCGCCGCGCCACGCCGCCCCCTGCTGGTCCGACTGCGACTGCAAGGTCTGCCACTCATGGAGCGCCTCCTCCCGCTCCTCCCACCTCTACGTCCACGTCCAATCCCCGACCACCGCAAGTAATCCACACACACACCACCTCTACGTCGATCGCCGGAGCTGAAGAAGACGATCGATGTGCTTAACCTTAACATGAATGCGAATTGCAGGTGGAGTGGAGACGGAGGACGTGGTGTTCGTCCACGGGTTCATATCGTCGTCGGTGTTCTGGACGGAGACGGTGTTCCCGGCGTTCAGCGAGGCGGCGAAGGGGAGGTACCGGATGTTCGCCGTCGACCTGCTGGGGTTCGGCCGGAGCCCGAAGCCGGCGGACTCGCTCTACACGCTCCGGGAGCACGTCGAGATGATCGAGCGCTCCGTGCTCCAGCGCTACCGCCTCCGCAAGTTCCACGTCGTCGCCCACTCGCTCGGCTCCGTCCTCGCCCTCGCCCTCGCCGTCAAATACCCCGACGCCGTCCAGTCCCTCACCCTCCTCGCTCCGGTAAGCCGCCGCCCGCCGCCCATCACCCTCACCGCCGGCGAGGTGACAGTGAGATCACTGACACTTCACTTCATCAATTCTTGCATGGCTAGATATGCATGTGAATCCATCACCCTAACTAACTCCAGTCCACTTTATACATTTTGACCAACTTGCCCAGTACATTTCCACGAAAGAGAACACATGTTCCCATCATAAATCATCACACTATCACTTTAATTTATTTTCGTCGCTTTAATTGGTTTACCGGTAGTGACTAGTTTACTTTCAAGGCACTACATGATTAATTTGGACCGATCGAGTTGGGTTTTCTAAAAAAAAATAATAGAATTTGATTTGAACCCTGATGGATAGAGCGAGATTGCTAACGCTATGGTGAACGTGGTGAATAGCCGTACTTCCCGGTGCCGGAGGAGGAGGCGGGGGCGGCGACGCAGTACGTGATGCGGCGGGTGGCGCCGCGGCGGGTGTGGCCGCCGATCGCGTTCGGGGCGTCGATGGCGTGCTGGTACGAGCACGTCAGCCGGACCATCTGCCTCACCATTTGCAGGCACCACCGCACCTGGGATCGCCTCTTCAGGCTCTTCACCCGCAACAGGTAAACCCCACACTTCCCTTCTTAACTATATAAATATTTTCTAACTATATACTCCCTCCGTCGTATAATATAAGGATTTTGGGTGGATGTGATATTCCAGTACAACGAATCTGGACACACGGTCTGTTCAGATTCATTGTATTAGAATGTGTCACATCTATTCAAAATCCCTTATATTATGGGACGGAGGAAATAGTACTTTCTCCACCTTTTAATTATGTAAGTTAGAAATGGTTAGTATTTTTTAGTGTTCTATCTCCATTTTTTTCTTTTAAATTCTGCTTTCTTGCAGCCACCTGGCTGTCTGTTCTGCTGTCCTGCACTCCTGCATGCTCTGACCTTCTCTTCTATATTCTGTATTTAAAAAACGAACTTATTTTACTTTAATTTTGGGGAAATGAGGGGTTTTTAAAAACATTTTTTGGGTATTGAATTCGTGTGAAATGGGTAGATGAGCAAGAACAGCTGTGCGACAGCTAGTGTGAGCCTTCTACTCATGCTGGCTACTCAAGTTTTCTCTGGTTGACGTACTACGTCCTTTTGATCGGTTTCTTGCCGTTGCCCTGCTTTGTATGATGCCCTTTTCTTCCCTGTCCTAAACGTACACTTCATCCAGTACTAAATGTTAATCCAAAAGAAGAGTTTACCTGTACCTTTTTGCTCGTGAAAAGTTCAGAATTTGAATAAGATGGAGTATTAGCAGCAAAAGCAGAGATTAAATTAAGGCGACCACCATTCCATTTTCCTGTAAGAAATAGAGAGAAATTAATCAAACAGATCAGACGACAGCGACCTTGGACAGTGTCAGTGCTCGAGCCATAACCCAAAATTATGCCATTCTCTCCATCCATCCATCGATCGATCGCTGTCGCCTGCTTAAATGATCGACCTCCAATGTTGTTCTCTGACAATAGGTTCACGTTTGTCGTCCTTCAGAATTAATACCCCGCGATTCCAGCTAATCCGATCATAATAAGCAACCTAGCTACAGTTCTGACGAAGAACTCCGCTACTGTACCAGACGCAGTTGGTGGCAGGCAGGCAGGCAGGCCGGCACCGTCAGTTTGCTGTACCTGTACCACATGCTGGCTAACTCACCCAAGCCGAGTTTGCAGCAATGGCCGTCTTGATGGAGAAACTCATTTCGTTCGTACGCATCATGCAGAATTGCAGACGATGATTTTCTCCTCTTCGCCATGACAACGATGGATGGAGAACAGTACTACGGGCAGGAGAGGGTTTTCGCGTAGATGGAGAGAGCTTAGGGACGTGCCTAAAATGGCGGTGGCTCACTGCACCGTCATAAACCATTCTGTCATGACCCACAGGCTATTTGTCGACAAATCATAGGAAACAATTCTGCATATTGCTTCAGAATCTGGAAAGCTAGTGAACTCATCGTTTTTTATATTCTGCACAAAAGAAATCTGATCTGAAAAAAAATAGAATTTATCTCCTCTTTTACTGAAGTTTTGAGATTTTTACCTCTGAAGACTGCGGTTTCTTCAGTAGGTTGAACAGTTTCACAATCTATTTTTTTTAATTAAGAGAAATTTTACTGTTTTTGAGAAAATATCTGAAGATACCTAAATTTTACACTAAAAAAATTAATACCTTGAAATACCTACAATGGAAAATGTGGTATACCTTCTCAAGAATGGTAAAATTAACTTTATTAAAGTTCAAGAAAAACTTCAGTTCTTTGCACCCGTTTTTCCATGCTGTCCTATACATACGCGCAGCTGGAGAGAGATTAATACTGAACCATTGATTGATCAATTTAAGGAGTTGTGTTTTTCATGGAGAAAATTTGGAAACTCTGCACGTTTCTTTCGGCCTTGGTTCTGAAGAAGAGGCGTCCATTTGCCCGGAATCAGTTAGCTAGGCTTTGCCGTTTTGCAGGATAGATTGTGTGTGTGGTGTGTTCACGGGAAGAAACGTAAGCAGAGGAGGCGTGCAGTTGGGGCGATGGTAACTAGCATGCAATGGCTAGTACCATACACCTTCTCTTAAATGTTTTTCGGTTGTGAAATCGTATGGCTGATCGATCGACTCACCTAACAACATTTCTTGATTCCAAAGGGCCACCTTTTCTCAATTATTTCTCCAAAAACCTTTTCTCAAGTATTCAGACATCTCCAGCTAGCTGTTGAAGAAACGGTAGTGAAGCTGAAAATATCTGAAGTTCTTAACTTTGTACTTAGTGCTGCATGATCTACCACACAGGATAATAAATTCTGAAAAATGCATGGAAGGTATAATTAACTAGCTAGAGGTAGCTTTGCATATTGGTAGTTACCATTGTTTTTCTCTTAGGTATAGTTTTTTTCCCTCTTCCAAATCATAGATTATCGCGAACACACTTTCCAAGCCCCTGGAAGACGCAAATATTTGAAAACTTTATATATATAAGTTGCTTAGGTTATTTTAAAATAACTTTTCAACTTTGCACTAATAGTTAATTCAATCGGTTGTACCCTCGAATGTCATCAGACAATGAGATAATGCATCATTTACTTATCTATTGAGAACAATCAAACTGGGCCACAGTGTGGCAGTAGCAGTCAGTCGAAGCAACATGAGTGATGAGTAGCATGTACAGTAGCTAGTGTACTAAGCTGGAAGGTTACCCACAAGTTTAGGACACACACACAAACACACAATGTGGGGTTGCCATGGGCCATCGCAATGGTGCCATCCACAGTTCCACACACCACTTGCATATATGCTACTAGCATGTTGGCATGGCCTGCCAGAGAGATCTAGCAGTTAAGTTGGTTCGAAGTTGCCACCACCATTTTTATTACTGGATTGTGCAAGTACAGCGAAGTGTAATGAGTTATGGCCAGCCATGGTGGGTAGCAAGTGCTGCCATGGCAAAGATCTTCTTCTTCCCTGGCAGTTCGTCCCTCTGTCTCACTGTCGATCATCAGTGAATTGCACTGTGCTGTCTGACTGAATCCATCACTGAATGTTGATGATGAAAGTGTATGCGAGTTAACGCGATAATTAGATTGATCACGGACACGAGTACATATAGGGACCGTACATTCTTATCTTTATAACCGACTTATAGAAACATAATCAGGATAAGATTAGGAAACCAAACAGGATACAGTACAATATCTATAACAGATGAGTTCGATCGATCCATGGCGAATTAATTGATGTGAGGTTGGTGGTGGTGGTGCAGGATGAGGACGTTCTTGATCGAGGCGTTCATGTGCCACACGCACAACGCGGCGTGGCACACGCTGCACAACATCATCTGCGGCAGCGCCGGCAAGATGGACAGCTACCTCGACGTCGTCGCCGGCCAGCTCGCCTGCGAGGTCGCCGTCTTCCACGGCCGCGACGACGAGCTCCTCCCCGTCGAGTGCACCCTCGCCGTCGGCGCCAGGGTGCCCCGGGCGCGCGTCACCGTCTACGACCACAAGGACCACATCACCATCATCGTCGGCCAGGAGAAGCTCTTCGCCACCGAGCTCGAAGACATCTGGCGCCGGAGCGCCGCCGCCGCCGCCGCCGGCGACGGCGAGTAGCACCGAGCTGCATGTCACACGCTACTACTCCAGCACTATACGCGACATGTACGTATTATACTGATCAGCAGTGCACAGCAGAGACAAGAGAAGCAAGTTAGTTAATTAATGGCCGGTAAATTAAACAAGAACTCGCAATAACGATCGACTGCCCTGCATGAAGAAGAAGAATTAAGAAGATGCTGCCCTATTTTAGGATGAGCAATATATTCTACCATATAAATTAAATATATATATTTTCTTTCTTTCTTTTCTTTTCTTGAAGGGAAACAATATCCATATATTTGCAGGAGTAATTAAATACATACAATATATATAGTCGTTTCCCTTCATTCCTTCTTCTTCTTCTTCTCTTGTAGTGGAGTATAAAGTGTACTTTGATTATACAGCTCTTTCTTCTCTGTATTTATTGCATGATTGGGACCAACTTGGACGGTACTCCAGGTAGCTCCACTATATACTGTCAGAACTGTAATATAATATGGACGTCGAGGCAGAATTAATTAAGCTGCAGAAGTTGGTTTCTGATGGGGATGTTAAATTTGTCGCATATAATTGCATGGCTTGTGACAGGCACGATTTGCTTGATTCGGGCCCTGCTTCCAATTAATTTTTCCCATGGAGCGAAAGAGACCTCCACCTCCATTTAACCAACGAATCCTCTCCTCTTTTTCTTTCTCTTTCTGTCTTCTTTTCTAGTACAATTAGGGTGTCTATTTGTCATTTTGTATAAAAACTGGATTAGTTCATTGTGCTATGAACAAAAAAGTTCTAATGAGTTTTTTACCTCGAAGAAAAAAAAATTCTAATGAGTTTGTACGCACTGGAGTGTGTAATCTCTCCAATTATTTAGCTGGCTGATAACTTCTGTTTACATCTCCATTAATTTGATTCTGACGATTGGTTGGTTTATCAGAACTCGGGAACTCTGACGAAGACATCTTCTAAACAGAAAGTCAGGACGACAGTGTATATCAGGAACTCTGGATGGGCCGCAAGTCCCAGCTTACAGATCTTCTAGCCCGTTATATTTTAGATTGGGCCAAATAGCAGCCAAGGATTTCTTGCTCCTTCATGCCAAGACGAAGGGTCCATTAGGATTTACGGCCCAGAGAATATACACGGTACCCTTATTACGCTTCAGAGTATCATAATGTTTTGAGTAAATTTCACAAAACTACAGGTATTTTGCACAATATATCACAAAACTACAGATTTAAGAGCTTGTTTCACAAAACTACAGATTTAGTGTCTTCGTTTATCACAAAACTACAGGTACTTTATACAATCTATCACAAAACTACAGATTTAAGAACTTGTTTCACAAAAATATAGATTTAGTGTATTCGTTTATCATAGTGCTACACATTTAGTGTCTTTATTTATCAAAAAACTACAGATTTAGTGCCTCCATTCTCACAAAACTACAGGTTTTAGCATCAAAACAAAAACCTGTAGTTTTGTGAGAATGGAGACACTAAATTTGTAGCTTTGTGATAAATGAAGATATTAAACCTGTAGTTTTGTGAAAAATGAAGATATTAAACCTGTAGTTTTGTGAAACAAGTTCTTAAATCTGTAGTTTTGTGATATAGTGTTCAAAGTACTTGTAGTTTTGTGATAAACGAAGACATTAAATCTGTAGTTTTGTGAAACTAGTTCTAAAATCTGTAGTTTTGTGATAGATCATGCAAAGTATCTGTAGTTTTATGAAATTTACTCTAATGTTTTTTAACCACATCATTTTTTTCCAGCAAAGATGTGAGTTGCATGTACATAGGAGAGATAATCGGTATTGAAGGTGTCAATGTGTGTTGAGGCTGTTGATGTACTCACGAAGAGAGTTTGGGTGGCCCAAAATTTTAAAAAGAAAGCATAAATATCGTCAAAAGAGAAGATAAGGTAATCCAAAGAGAACAATGAAGTTAAGGGTAATACAAAATAAAAGATGGTTCAAAGTGTGATTTACTCCAATAATATTTTTCTGCATCTTAGAACTCAAGTGAAGCCCATAATAAGGTCATCATAAATATGATCTGGTACGAGTCGTTCAAAAAAAAAAGTCATAAGGTCATCATAACCCATGCCTATAATGGGCTTGTTGGATAGAAACATTTTTAGCCCAGTAATGAAGGTAATGTAGAGTTATCAGTGAATATTTGGGTAGTTGAGGGGGCTATCCGAAAAAACCCTATCCCCAGAATCCCAACTCCAACACCCGCGAACCACTCGAACGGGAAAAGGGAAATCCCCCCTCACTCCTCGCTCCGACCATGGCGCGCGCCGCCGTCTCCACCGCGCCGCTCTCCCGCGTCCACTCGCCGCCGCCGCTCATTCCGCGGCATCCACATTCACATTCGCGTGTAGGACTCCTCCACCCCCAGCGCAAGGCCCTCACCACCGCCGCGGCGCTGCCCCCGGCGGCCGACCTGCCCCCGCTCTCCCTGCCCGCCGCGGCGGCCGCGGCTGCCGCGCTGGCCGCGGCGGTGTCCCTCTCCGACCCCGAGCGCCGGCGACGCGCGCAGGCGGAGGCGGCGGGGGGCGGGGACAAGGAGGCGGTGCGCGCCTACTTCAACTCCACCGGCTTCGAGCGGTGGCGCAAGATCTACGGCTCCGCCACCGACGGCGTTAACCGCGTCCAGCTCGACATCCGCGAGGGCCACGCCCGGACGGTGGCCGCCACGCTCTCCATGCTGCGCGACTCCCCCGTCCCGCTCGCCGGGGCCACGGTCTGCGACGCCGGGTGCGGCACGGGCTCCCTCGCCATCCCGCTGGCGTCGCAGGGCGCGTCCGTGCTGGCCTCCGACATCTCGGCGGCCATGGTCTCGGAGGCGCAGCGGCAGGCGGAGGCGGCGGCCATGGCGGCGTCGGACACGTTCCGCATGCCGCGGTTCGAGGTCCGCGACCTGGAGAGCCTGGAGGGGAAGTACGACATCGTGGTGTGCCTCGACGTGCTGATCCACTACCCGCGGGAGGAGGCGAAGCAGATGATCCGGCACCTGGCGTCGCTGGCGGAGAAGCGGGTGCTCATCAGCTTCGCGCCCAGGACGCTCTACTTCGACTTCCTCAAGCGCGTCGGCGAGCTGTTCCCGGGGCCATCGAAGGCGACGCGCGCGTACCTGCACTCGGAGCGCGACATCGAGGACGCCCTGCGCGACGCCGGGTGGCGCGTCGCCAACCGCGGCTTCATCTCCACGCAGTTCTACTTCGCCAAGCTCTTCGAGGCCGTCCCCATCGCCGCCGCCTCGCAGTAGGTGTTCGTCCAAGATTTTGTGCGTCTTCGATTCGTCATTGCAAATTTTGCGTCGATGTAGGTAATGTATGTATCTAACAATCAAAATGGATTTTGGGATGTGGATTTTCATCCCTCGAGGAGACACCCCCTCGTTGTTTACATGCCATCTGAATATTTATTAAAAAAATTAACAACATAAACTAATACGAAATATATCACTCTACAAACATGCAAGTTTAAATTCAACTTTTACAAGTTATAATAAAAATAATAAATATAGTTGCGGATGTGTGATGATGTGCGATGATGATGATGATGCATGATGTCTTCCTCTGATCGAGCGCTCGGCGCGTAGAGTAGAACAATGTAGTGATATCGAGCGCATCTCCATGGACTAACATGTAAAGTTTCGGTCCCAAATAGGGACTGAATTGGTAAAGTTTGTGATAAACGGGATTTCAAATGTAAAATTCAAGTATCAAATGTAAACGGGATAGCCATTCGATCAGGTAGTTGCGGTCTGGATTAGGGGGTTGGCTGTAAAGTAACAAGCGTTGGATATTTACAAAAGAGCCCTCCTACAACCTGTGTGATTTGCATTTCATCTTCCTCGTCTCCCCGTCTGCCGGAGCTCCGGCGAACTCGCCCCAGCCGGCGAGTCGACGGGAATGGCTAAGATACTAGTAGTATTGTGCTTACTCCTACGAGCACTCTTAGGTAGTGTTTGGTTGCAAGGATGGGATAGAATGGGATGGGATGAACCCACTTTTAGGGGTGTTTGGTTGAGAGGCGAATGGGATGGGTTGGTCCCTGGAGAGAAATATTCCTCTCAGATCCGGGACGAAGTGGTCCGCCAAAATCAGCCAGACCAATCCATCCCACTTCGACCGAGCGAACGGCGTCAGCTGCCGCTACCTCCTGCTCGGCTCCGCCGCGGCGCTGCCACGGCCGCCTGTCCGTCCTCCTCCGCTTGCTCCCTTCCCCGGCGCACTCCCTCCCCCGACGCCGCTTCCTCCCCAGGCGCCGCTAGCTCCCTCCCCCGGTCCCCGTTCGCCAAGTCGCCGGCTGCTCCGCCCGCTCGTCGATTAGCCGGCCACGCCTCCCGCTCGTGAAGCTCCTCCTTCCCTATGCGCGCTCGCTGAGTTGCCGGCCATGCCCTCCCGCCCGCTCCGGCCGCTCATGAAGCTCCTTCCCTACGCGCGCTCGCCGAATCGCCGGCCCCGCCGCCCGCCCGCACCGCTCCTCATTCCGTCGTTCGTCGCTCGGTCTGTGCCTGCTCCCTTCCTTGCTGCTCCTTTCATCCCCGCCGCCGGTCGCCGCTTGTGCTGCCGCTCCTCCTTTCACCGCCGGCCGTTCGCCGCTCCTCCAAGCTAGGAGTGGATCTGTGGATGTGGTGCGCTAACGTCTCCAAACGTCGTTCATCTCATTCTTACCCCTATTCCTTCTACCAAACAAAAAACTAGGATCATTCTATCCTATAAACTAAACAAATAAGTGGGATCACTCTATCTCTAAAATCAGGAACGGTTTTATCCCATCCAACACATGCTTATAGTCTCCTGTGGCCTTAACCCCGAGATATTCATTCATTCCCATTTCCAAATTACCAGCACGAGATAGAGATATCGCTGATGTTCTCCACCGCACGTTTCTTCCTCCCCGTCCGGCCCCGGCCGGACGCCACGATCTCCGGCGGCCGCAAGCCATACCTGGTCGCCGTCTCGGCGAGGCCACGCCGCGGCGGCTCCCGCCGCAACCGCTCGTGGGGAGACGGCGGCGGCGACGACGAGGACGGCGCCGCCGACGACCGCATCGACGCCAACTTCTTCGGTGACGCGCGGGACGAGCCAGACCCGGAGCCGGAGGATGCGGCTGCCTCGGGGCGGCGGCCCTCCTCGCCGGCGCCGGAGCAGGAGCCCGCGGGGCAGCTGCGGGGGTCGGACGTGCTGCGGGCGCTGGAGAGAGCGGCGGCGGCGAAGGAGGCCAAGAGGAGGAAGAGAGCGGGGGCGCGGCCAGCGGCGCGGCGGCAGGACGCCGGCGAGCGGCGGGGCGGCGAGCTGGCGGCGGCGGGGGCGGCGAGGCCGATCGAGATAAGGCGCGAGTGGGCGACGAGGATCCGGGAGCTGGAGCTCCGGGTGAAGCAGCTCGTCGACAAGCACCATCACTCACCACCCCCAGTAGAAGCGAAGCGTAGATCACAGCGCTAATTTGAATTCATATTTCAAAATGCATCATAGGATTCCTCCAGATTGTATTGGTAAATCGCATCGAGAATTTGAGAGTTCTGGCTGCTTTGTTTCAAAGGAGATTGGGGAGATTGTGACTCGTTTTCCACGTCCACGCTTCCCAAACTACTAAACGGTGCGTTTTTTGCAAAAAATTTCTATAGAAAAGTTGCTTTAAAAAATCATATTAGTTCATTTTTAAAATTTAAAATAGTTAATACTCAATTAATCATGCGCTAATAGCTTACCTCATTTTGCGTATCTCCCCAATCTTCTCTATCTCCCTCTCTCAAACTCAGCCTTAGTACAGTTCAGGCTTGAACCCATTGGGGATTTGGAGTACAGTACCGATCAGGATTCAGATTCGATAGGCAAATGCACGTTGGATTCAGGTTAGGATTCAGCATGCTTAACAGTTATGAACAGTTTAACAAGATCCCCTGGATGTGACAGCTTTTTTTCAGACCTGTGTAGGATTAGTGAACTGAAGCAAGAAGAAACCAAAGCTTGAGGAGGCGAAGAGAATGATGCATACCATGGTCATTTTGGTGCTTTGATGCCTTTAGAGAGAAGGAAACAACAGGTTTTTCCGGTAGATTGGGATACTTCCCAGTTGTTGATGCATGAGTAAAACCAGGTTTTTTGGCTTCTGTGGGTGCACACGGCAGAGTATTCAGAGTTCTTGTAATGCCTAAACGAACTCCTTGTGTTTGTAACACTGGGAATTTGGGATACAACATTAATCAGGATTCATACTTTAGAGTGTAGATGCAAAAAGTTTTTTTTTAAGCAGGTTCAATTGTTGCACAGTTTGCACTACAGGCACAACACTCTTAACTAGAGGAGTATTTGTTTTTCTTATGTTTCACTTTTAGACAACAGATGTTCTATGCACTGGTCATTTTACTGCACCTCAGTAGCATTTTTGCACAAAATTTACTGCACAATAGTTTCATGAAGTGACCATGATACTGCACCTGGAGTGTATTTCAAATTTTCAATGTCACCTCTGGCCAAATTCTGTTTGATCTTCTTTGGTGATTGCTCTGATCAGCAATGTTTCTTCAGACAATGTACTCCTTCGGGTTGCAAGTTCAGCAAATCTTTAGCAGCATAATTTGTATAGCTGGAATTTAATTGTGTTTTTTAGATAATGGAATTTAATTGTGCTGGAACATGATCTGTGTGTAAGCTGGAACTCCAGCCAGCCTAGTCATCTGGAGTTTCGACTGACTGCGATGACTGAGGATCTTTCAACAACACACAAGTGGGGCAAAAAAAATCAGGCCTATAAGAATTGAGTACTTATACAAGTATAATTCGGTAGCTAGAACTGATAATCAAAGCATGCATCATCAAGCCGTGTATAAACTAATCCATCAACGTCAAGTTGGGGACTGAGCCACCACTCCCAAGTCCCAACTAACTCGAAGCATGCAATTCAGACTACAATAATCCCTCGCTACAAACTCTCTTCTTTTTCTCGACCCTAAACTTCAACTTATTCGGTATTCGTTTTTTGTTAGTACGTTTTTCAAACATTCAAATGGTGTATTTTTTTAAAAAAAATTGTTATATAAAAGTTTTTTAAAAAATAAATAAATCTATTTTTTAAATATATGATAATTAATGCTTAATTAATTATGTGCTAATGAGGTCTTTCATTTTACGTGAACAAAAATCTCTCCCCAAAATGCCACAAAACGGAGCCTTAATCTCCAGTTGAGATCCTTTTAAACAAGCTAACCACCACGGATCTGAAACCAGAACGTGCCCACCCCATTCTCAGAATCATAAATACGTGCAAAATTTCACCATACCAATATTAACCAACGCATTTGAAATCTGATTTTATTTGAAAAGAAAGAAAAATTTTCTTTTCAGAAAATAAAATAAAAGAGGCTTGACGATAGAGAGAGAGAGAGAGAGAGAGCGCGTCTCGTCGTCGTCGTCGTCGGGTCGGACCCGAACCACCGAGCTCGCTCGCTTTGCCGACAAATCACGCCATAGACCAACCCAACCCGTGCCGCAAAATCCCCAAATCCCAAATCCCAAATCCCGCCGCCTCCCAGATCGCCGCCGGATCGATGGCCGCCGCCTCGCCGCTCGCCGCCGCGGCGGCGCTCGCCCTCCTCCTCCTCCTCCTCCTCGCCGCCCCGGCGGCGGCGGAGATCCGGGAGACGGTGATCCGGAGCGACCCGCGGAGCATCATCCCGCTCGACGAGTTCGGGTTCTCCCACTCGGGCGTCCTCGAGCTCAACGTCTCCGGCATCGCCTTCGACCCGCCGGCCTCCTCCGAGCTCGACCTCTCCCAGCTGGGATTCTTCCTCTCCACGCTCGACGCCTGGGTGCACGTCCTCCGCCAGCTGCAGGATCTCGACGTCACCTGCGCGCTCCAGGCCGACCTCGTCAAGCTCGCCTACTCCTTCGACCGCCTCAGGCCGCCATCCAACCCCGCCGGCGTCGAGGTCGCCCGCTCATCATCCTTCTCCACCGCCTTCCCCGTCTCCGAGCCAGGGCAGTACACGCTCGTCTTCGCCAACTGCCTCGGCGGGGGGCTCAAGGTCTCCATGGACGTCCGCTCCGCCATGTACAACGTCGACCCGCCCACCGGCGAGCGCTCCTACCTCTCCGCGGGGGCCACCGCGCTCCCGACCATCTTCGGCTTCTTCGGCGTCGCCTACGCCGCGCTCGCCGCCGGCTGGATCGCCATACTCCTGCGCAAGCGCGCCGCCGTGTTCCGGATCCACTACTTCATGCTCGCCGTGCTCGTGCTCAAGGCGGTCAACCTGCTCGCCGAGGCCGAGGACAAGTCATACATCGAGCGCACTGGCACGGCGCACGGCTGGGACGTGCTCTTCTACATCTTCAGCTTCCTCAAGGGGATCTCGCTGTTCACGCTCATTGTGCTCATCGGCACCGGCTGGTCATTCCTCAAGCCTTACCTTGCTGACCGAGAGAAGAAGGTCCTTATGGTGGTCATCCCTCTGCAAGTCGTGGCCAACATTGCGCAGGTGGTGATTGATGAGTCTGGGCCGTATGCTCGGGCCTGGGTCACCTGGAAGCAGGTGTTGTTGCTGGTCGATGTGATCTGCTGCTGCGCTGTGCTCTTCCCGATCGTGTGGTCCATCAAGAACCTCCGCGAGGCTGCTCGCTCTGACGGGAAGGCGGCCGTGAATCTCATGAAGCTGACCCTTTTCCGCCAGTACTACGTGGTTGTAATTTGCTACATTTACTTCACACGTGTCGTGGTTTATGCGCTGATGACCATCACCTCGTACCGGTACCAATGGACCAGCTATGTGGCCAAGGAGCTGGCCACCCTTGCATTCTATGTGTTCACTGGATACAAGTTCCGGCCTGAGGTGCATAACCCGTACTTTGCGATTGACGATGAGGAGGAGGAGGCTGCTGCTGAGGCACTCAAGTTGGATGATGAATTTGAGCTATGAGGATTTACAATTGCCGGTCCCTTCTTTTGCCACTGATGATACAGATATTGTATGTGCCTCCAAAGGACAAATGGTATAGACTGGTATCTAGTCCATATCCTTTTCTTTTCATTTCAAGTTAGTTATATTTTTCTTGCTGTAACTGGTTATGGTCAACCTTGTGTTTGTGTTAAGAAATGCAGCAGCTTGGATTTGCCTTGGTCTAATCTAAAAGCATTGAGATGAGCTGTTCTGATTGTACCTTCGTAGCAAATGTTGTATCTAGATGTTTACTTCTCTTGTAAAAGAAGTTGACTATGATTCAGTTTGTTTATTCATTTAGTGCTAACTCTGAGTCTTGAGTCCAGACTGTTTCTACATTAGCTCTACATCTGCATCTATCGGTACTATTATTTGTAGCATCATTTGGTTTCATAGTGCAGAAACAAATGCCATTCTATAACAGACTTGAGGTTGTCATGTACAATGCTTCCTAATTCCAAAGAGGGACTAAAGTTTGTGGTACATAGAGCATTGCAATAAGTTTCTTTTAATTTTGTTTACTTGTGTAAATCGCCTGACATTTACCTATCAAACTGTTTCATGCATGCATTGATTGCATTCTCGTTGTGTCTCTGTATGCTTAGATATTGATGAGTAATCTTGGTCGTTAGGAAATTTAGCATGTATATTCATAGAACTGCCCAAGCTTAAGTGTTCTCTTCTGTAGTTCTGTTGTCCGCTTTTGGCTGTATGTGTACTTTGGCTTTTCCAACTAGGACTATGATGGGGAGTTGAGGACATGGCATAAACAAAGTATCCTTATGCTTTGAAATTTAGTAGGGTTGGGAGATTAGGTCGCTGGAGTTTTCACTAGTCAAAACTCAAAGCACACATTGTCGTCGTGAACTTGAATTTAAGTTGAAAATACCATGTTTTCTTTTCATCTATTTGCATTTCTTTCTTTGTTGTTGGGTGGCTGGGTGCTACGATCATTGACTACTATCTAGTATATTGTTAAATAGAGATTTTGATGTTGTGATATATCTGATTGTAGTACAATTATTTATGCAAATATTTGGTCCTTTGCTTCTATCGACAACTGGATAACTGTGCAGGCATTCTAGGGTCATACAACTAAGCAATTCGACTGATACTTTTATGAAAGCCTTTGCAATCGTGTGGTCATCAAACCAAACTAGTTTTTCATGTTTTATGGGAGGTATCCAACCAAAAAGTTTCTTATACCTCCACCTCTAAGCATCAGCACTTACACAAGGATAATATGCAACATTATTAGAATTGGACAGAGCAAAGTTGTCCTTATGTTTGAACATCTTTGATAGTTTGATGGGCATGTTACAAAACTGAACTAGAATGGATTTATTACTTGAAAGTGTTCGTAAAAATATGTTTTATCCTGTCTTAATTTACTCATCTTTCTTTACATCAATTACATTTCACAGTGTTTTGCATCTTTAAAAAATGTAATCTTCTGCCAGTAAGTTTGCAACTTGAGATTTGTCGAATGAGGACTGAATTATTCAAGTATTCCTGATTTAGTTCTTTTGTTGGGACAAGATTCCATCAGTTGCATGGGAATGCGATAGCATGCTGTTTATAATTTTCTGTTTGTGGGCTTTATTTACATGATCTTTGTAAGTTTCTTTCATACTCTGGTCATAGCGTTTAGGACATGATTTGATCAAACTTGACCATCAATAACTTATCAAATGCTTGGTTTAAAAACAAAAATAAATAGTACTCATTGATTTGGCTGTATCATAGCAATATTTTTGAACTTATTCTAATATAAATTGATGGTCAAAGTTTTAAAAGTTATGACCGAATCTTGCCAGAAATTTGTGAGCGGAAGGATTAATTGAGTAAATAATAGAGAAGCCAGAAATTTGCAACTGGATTTCTTAATGTTCACTTTTCCATTTATATTTTATTTATGGCAATCAAACTTGATCTCAGTATTTAAGTTCTGAGCATTGGCATTTCCTATTACTATTAGTGCCACTGAGCTACTAGGCAGTTGATCCATGGGCTGAGGATGGATTTTAGGTTAAGTCTGGGCTTGGGCTTTATGGATGGCTACTTTCATTGTCCTAGGCCATGCTTCGCATCTTGATATCAGATGTACTGATTACTTGATCTAAATCCTGGTAGAGGGGATACAGTCCAGATCAGTACTCCAATTACATGGAACAAGCATTTAACTGTATACTTGTAGTTCACTCTTTTGCATCTGTCGAGGCCAAACCTGACTGTTGGAAGTCTCCTTTTTGTAACCACTAAATTAGTTGCTGGATATGACTCCAATAAAATAC